CAATACAAGTTCCTTGCCTGTACTGTAAAGTGGCTGGTCAGCTGTGACAATGGTGTACTCCTGACCAACGTGGCTGGACATTTTCAGGACAGGACAGCATGATCATGTCTTTGGAACTCTTGTAGCGCATTTGGTTTGACCGCTCTTGACCTCAGGATTTGCTTTCTGTCTAGAGACCATGGAGTCTCTTGTGGAGCTGGACCTCTCTGCCATACCATCATCTGTATGCAATGGAATGTATTCTTTTCATCTTGTGTTGCTTCCAACACGTCAATGTTGTCACAGGAGCAGAGGACCATTCTCTCTTTTGTGATATTGTCTGGGAGGTAGACATTGCCATTCTTGACGAACCTCTCAAAAATGTTACGGGTCATGGTTGTGTCAGTTCTTCGCACTGTGCCAATAGCAATGGTATGGTTGGCAGCAAGAAACAAGTCAACAAGTGTCTCAGAGTGGGTTGCTTGGTGAAGAGCAAGACCTAAGCCAACATGCTTCGGTGTCAACTTCCGTCCATTGGAAACCGACGTAATACAATATCTTGGGCAATGATGCAAACAATTCGCTTGATGGTGCTGTCTTCCTCAGTGCCTGAATGCACCACATCAGTACCCCCAAAAAGGATAGAAACAGATATAAGCTGTTCGGTATTACCTCATCCACACTTTTTGGGTCGAGGTTTCGCCAGGTGTTGCAATGCCCAGGGGTGTGGAGTAGATCTTCTCTGATTCTAAAGGCCACATGAACCATCTCTTGAAAGATATTGTCTTGTGCGATCCTTATCGTAGTGCCTTCTTCATCATCTGTAGAGTCTGAACCTGAAGACACCACTTCTTGATGACGGGACTTTGTAAAGGTCTTGGAAATGACGAGGCCAACTTCTCACCGGGATATATTAGGAGAAACCCTGCCTTAAGGGTACGTACGTAACTAGCCTGTTGTCCAACCAGAAGTTGAACCGTTTCATTGAAGGTTGTTCTCCTAGAGAGATATCTTAGTGGGATTAAAGTACCCCTTTCAGCACCCATACTTTGGTATCTGTCCCATACATCGCTCATGCTGTAAACATGACAATAAGATAACCCTACACCCAAGTCTCGGCACAGTTTCATCATACATTCATCCTCCTTCGGCTCCTCTGGATCACCAAATGATTTGACCCTTGAAGACCTTTCCTCAAATCCCCTCAAACATACAAGATGATAACAGCTTTCAGCTGCAATCAAATCACTGATGCCTGAAAGTCTTATGCTCAATACAGGATAATATTTGCTATTAAATCAAATAATTGTCAAGTATTGTTGCAAGGGATAACTCAGCACAAAAGGACATAAAAGCAAAGCTTGGAAGCCCAAGCAGTTTAGCATTTGAACGAAGGTCCAACTGTACAACACCTTTGTCAAATCTGTTGTGCTGTATGGCGCTGAATGGTGGCAAGTCGTAAAAGGCAAGACGGTGACTCGGGGGCCTTTATCCCATCTTCTGGCTAAACAAGATCTCAACTGAAGGGCTGTACAAGAAAACAGAGAGAAAAGTGGTGATGAAGATAAAGTATCGACGGATCAGATGGCTTGGGCAATTCAGATGGACTGCGCCTGTAAAGAGGAAGCAGGGCAGGCCGAAAACAACCTGGAGACATAGAGTGACAGCAGAGCCCAAGGAGTTGGGCTTAACAAAGGGTGAGGCACAGCTTGCTGCCAAGGTCGGAACCCGTTGTAAGCAAATCGTTGACGCCTTGTGCCCACTAACGGTTTTGTCCAGCCAAGAGGCCATAGGAGATTAGAATTTGACTACAGGCCTGTGAGGGATATGTGCAAACTTGAGGGGAACATTGATGCGGAAAACTTGTGATTTTAAAACTTGTTTCTACTGGCTCAAAAGGTATGCTTGGTCGGTCTGTTTCGTTTAAGACTGGCTAAGCACATTCATCGCCCTACTAATAAATGCCTGAGAAAGTTTAGCCATTCACACTCGTCGATCTTGAGTCAGTCACTCATTAGTTGCTCTTCAACGGCGATATAACACCGGCTTGTTATGCGCCCCCCCACTCCGCGCAGTACGTACCACGAGCACGAGAGTCATCATAGTTATGAGGAGATCGTTTACAACTACTCACATGAAGAACAAACCCTAACATGGCATATTCAAGCTTATATCCAAGCAATTGTAACGATTATACATTTCCTACGTTGTTTTTGACAATTAAATTGAAAATGAATACGTGCTTCGCTGGCCAAAAACCGGCAAGGTTTAGTTTATTTATTTCCATATCTTTATTTCAATAAAATATTCACCTTAGTTTTAGGCCACTAAACACAAAACATTTTCATTATGCCAACAACATCTGTAGCTACTCAATGCAGTTTTTTTTCCAACCCACTCAACAAAGATACCTGGGAATCGGATATAGGTGATAACTGCTCGTTGGACCAAGATGACACTCCGATCCGCCTGGTCGTCACTATTTCCCCAGGTGATCGAAGTCTTGTGACACGTAATTAACAATTTCAATTTGCTCTACCGATTTATTTTTTTTTCAATTTTCCTACCTTCATATTATCTTGATAAAAGACCACTGAGAGTGAACTAAGAGGCTGTGAAGAGTCTACTCTGCCAAAGGCATGACCTTGAAGTGATTTTAAAATAAATTTCTGACCCAGTTATAAAGCAACAGCGTCGACGCGCGTCAAGAAATGGTATGTAAAGGGGGTGATATATTAAATCCAATACTCATTTTTAAGTTTCAGCTTTTGATTTGTATTTGTTACTACGCGTTTTCTCTTTATTTTGATTTTGTTTCAATGTCTTGTTTTGAAAATGGTACACAGTGCACGAATGTGCTTATAAAAACCAGTCGATATTCAACTCGATTCATTGCCATCGCTAGGTTCGTACCCTTTTTAGGGCACTTTTATTCCCTTTTAAATCACATACATGTATAACAGTTACCGAATATAAATTTCAAATTGATTGATTCACGCAGAGCAAATTACTCCCACAAGTGCGCAATGAACCCTTTTGGGGCCGTTGTGCCGATGCAAAGATGCATGTTGGTAAGGGTTGCAGATTTGGAAAGCAAAATTGGAGACGACAGAAGTGCAAGTATTAAACATGGCGGCAACAAAATTGGTTGATCCGGAACGAGATAACTTGCAGCGTGCAACACGCAGACAATACTTTTTTTCCTTTGTGACGCCACCGCAATCTACTGAAAACAGTCATGGCTCAGTGGTGCAGTGGTACAGTCAATAAACGTAAGTTTGACCCAAGGTTAGTTGGTGGTCGAAAACCGTGACTGACTTGAGGCTATACGCAGATTTCACCACTGTGGCACTATGTACAGTTAGTGGAGGGTCCATCGGCGTACCAAAGGGACACACTATGAAGCATTCACGTTAACCGGTCGAGTAAACGTCGTTTTTTCATTGCAGGAAGAGCAACTCTGTGTATTCCTGAAACTATCCCAGCTAATCGGTGGGTAAATGCTTCATGTTTAACTTGCCCCAAAGCAAATGTCTATCGTCCATGTATATATCCTAGAGTTATTTGGAGTTATGCCGTATATGATTCTGAAACTACACTTGGATGTAAGACTTTTCAATGAAAAGTGGCCAAACTTAAGCTAATTTGCGGATACTTTAGGCAAACAACTTACTGATGATTCAGTATGCAAAAGTGCAATTACATGATTCATCCCCAAAACTACTATTTCAAGATACTGTATGGGAATATTTATTTTTAAAGTAGCTGTCCAGAGGCGGCTTATTCAATTGTTTGTCTCTGTCAAAAGATAAGCTCCCTTTTTGAAATATCGCTCTGATATTTTTCTCAACAAACGCAACACTAAACGCAACACTAGTCGACTCTCCTTATTACGAAAGCTACTGGACTCAGTGAACAGGTTTGTTATATCCCCAAAGTAGCTGTATGCCAAATGCACTCGCTCCCTGTCTGTCAAACATTCAACAAAGGTATACTTAGGTCCTATTATTAAATACTTCTAATTTGCGAGTTTGCCTGATGATCGAACTAATTTATAGGATGCACTGTAGGGTATGGTTTATCTTGTACATTTTTTTTGTTTAAGATTAGCAATGCTATATTGAAACACACATCTAAGGTAATGCAATAGATACATCTGGCAGACGTTGGTTGTGATTCGTTGCTGAGGACTACATCAGCGTACCAACGTGGATGCCAAGCCTGACGATCACTGACGGTCCTTTATGTGAGTAAACTTTCCATCACAAATTGTGCCATGCAAATCTATTTCCATGTTATTGTCCATTTGTCTCGCAATGTTTATAGTGTGCAACACGGTTTGGGGGCTATGGTGCGGGGTTGGAATGTTGAAGTACTTATGGACAACCGCATGTCAGTGCGCCACAAAAGATGTTTTATGAATGTAATGTAACTCTACCTGACAAGAAGGTTTTGGTACTAATATGTCACCGCAAATGCTCATTGGTACAAAATTGTTAACGTCAACTGTTCTAAAGATGTACCTTGCGTCGAGGAGACGTTAATTTTAAATACGGGTTTTACCCTTAGGGCCGGCGACCATTTAGACCCGGTTTGAAAAGGACCCCCGGTAGCCCACCCTGTATAATGCCTGCCCGGTATTCAGGCTACTCAGGCCTGACTGCACATTGGCATTTCAAAGTCCCTGATGAAAGGCTTCTCCCACCACGCTTCCACAGATGAATAGGGGTTTAAGCAGATTAGTGTAAACATTGTATAGAGCTGAGGGATTAAAAACCAAAAGCCGGTCCCTTCTGGAATACAATGCATGTACCAGTATTTGCAAACAATAGACCCCAGAATGGAGAAGTTCGAGATCAACAACCAGTCCAGCATCCCAGGCCGGTCATATGCAGCAAGGTATGAGACGGAGAGAACCCCCCTGCTTTGTGTTGGTCATTGTCTCGCAGGAATCTGGGGAATTCCTTTCATACATCTTGGGGGATGTGTTAATTAACAATAGTCTGGAATGTGTATAGGGATTGGACATGTTGGGGGGGGTACCCCTTGGTCTCATTTCTTGCTGGGTATAAGGCCTGTAGCCAGGTCGGTATGAAAAAGGGGTTTTTGCAACAGGGCGAGCTTACCGGGGGGGCCTTTTCAAACCGGATCGCCGGCCCTTACCTACCGTATATACATTTTTTGGTAAACTCTGTATACTCAGTGCTTGTAAGAGAACTTGCGAAAAAAAATCACAGGCATACTTGGGTGGGACTCAAACCCAGGACCTCTTGTTTACTGATGCATACGTCTATTACCTGGGCAAGGCCTGTAAAATAAATTAACATCTTCCCGACGCAAAGTACATCTCGAAATAGTTTGTGGTTCCCCCTGCTACATCTGACTCGGACTGACCAACCGACGCCGGCAAGCTCTTTGGTCGAGGGGTTAAGACGTCTGTACTAGTAAGCAGGTCGTGGATTTGAGTCCCACCTAAGTAAGCTTGTGAACTTTTTCGCAAGCTCTCGGACAAGCGTGAGTACACAGAGCTTATAAAAAATAAACAGGACAGAAAATGGCAAAATCTGTAATAAAATGTGGGCCAGAAATTCTACCTTCACTAGAACCACAGGTCCGTTCTCACTTCTAGTGGCAACATGAAAATGTGCGCCATTGGTCAATTTAATTTTAGGGTGCCGATTTTCAATCTGTCTGTTGCAACATCGTCACGCTGCTCCAAAAGCCAGCACAAGAAGGTGTCAATCCATTTTTTGATCACAAACAGCATTTTGGGCATAGCTTTTATATATGTCCGTCAAATGTTTTTAAATTTGACACAGGTACTATTTGTAACACTTAACTAAAGAAATATTTCCATCTAACACATTTTTGAGGTCGGGATGAAGGAAAACTCTGCCCACCTGGCTTCCATGGATCTTGTTTTCACGTAGATGGCAAAGAAAAATTGAGGCATCATGCATTGCGGAAAACCTTTCTGGAAGCAAATTTGCTATTTCTCTTAGATTAACCACTTTTATTAATCTTTAGAGGGTACTTCAAGTGTGGACTCTATGTATGTGAGTTGACGCATATTGACATTGAAAAAAATGTAGCATGACCGCTTTGATACATGTAAGCCCTTCGAATACTAAACACCGCAGATATATCATGCCAGATTCTGAGCCTTTGGCAACTTGAGTTAAATGGTTCACATCATGTTCTGCTTTGGCTGCTTCGGAGTTGGCAATTTGTTATTAAATAACAAAATATTTACAATCTCGTTTTCTAATTTACATCATTTTTTATATTTTTAAATTGAAGACAAGTCGGCATAATTTTTTTTCAAAGCAGGTATGTTGTACATGTGTTAATTTTGGAAAGTGATTTCCTCAAATCCCCAAATGCCCGCAAGATGTGGTCAGTAGTTCACCGTGTGTGTTGGAAATACAACTAAATAATTTTTCATTTCTGAGCTTTTAACTTACATGAAGGTTCATAGTTTTGGGTCGGCTAAACCAGTTCCGGATCGCCACATTTCTTCACAAATATAAGAGTAACCACGCGAGAAATCCATTTTTCAGCCATAAGTATTGTAACAAGCTGATTTACTAATGGAGAGTTTCTTACAGAAAAATAGTTCATAAATAAGAACTTGCGCAATGTTTGACTCCGCTTTTTTAGAAAATTAGTTTCCAACGAATTAAAACGTAGAACAAGCGTAACTTGGCACTCACCTTTTTTTCAGCTGTACACAGATCTGGCAACGATACCATCCCCAAGTGGCACACTGACGAACCAATTGCGTCACATTTCTGCTACGTACGTATGATTGAGTTTGTAACGTATTTGCGTGCACTAAATGTGTGATCCCAAACTACGCAAATACATGTGTTCAGTTTTCAGCCAATTTGAAAACAGAACCCCAAAAATCTTCTTGATTGTAAACGTATATGTGACTGTCGAGTACTGGAACCACACATAGGCCTAGTGGGTGACCTACCGCCCTGTAAAGTTTTGTCAATTGTTTTGGCTCCTGTGATTATAACTATTTCTTTGTTTTCCAAAGCCACACCTCTCACCTACCAATCTAACTGTTTCCATTGCTCCAACATGTCATGTGTTTTCACCAACTTGTCTCTGTAATTTGTGAAATTTCTCTTGATTGTCGGAAACACTGCCAACACACACGTTGCCCACGGGCGCCGCTATGTTCACTTCTATGAGTGCCACTTGTCCCCGGGTGCAACGATGGAATTTCATATCTCGAACTAACGAAGGATCGAAGCCGGAGACAGTGTCCTCTATTGGCACGTTGGAAAAAGGCGAGCAAAACACGAGCACTTAAGCATTTTGAGACCACATTAATAGAGCAAAACATCCGGATGGCAATGGACAAAATATTGATTCATATTTATTAGAGCAAAAAGTAAGTATGAACTCTAAATTCTCAACGAACCTGCACGCTATGATTTCTGGCCCACGGTCTATAATTCAATTAATACAACGAGTTAAACTTGTCCCGCTAAAACAAATGTGCTAACAGTAACAAAGACACTGTGATAGTTGTCGTTCAAAACTCGTCAATTTTACAAGAAATCAACATTCATAAATGGTTTCATCCCTTAAGCGGTACACAGGAAAGATTATACCTATTCCCTCTCCGCTGGCTTTCTCAGTTTCTGAATTGCTGTACTTTTTACCCAAACCTAGCGGTGTTTATAGAAATTCAAAAAATAGTTATAGTTGTAAGAATAATTTCATGTATTGTCAGCCATTCATCAAACAAATTCTGTCATCGTTGCAAAAAAAGTGAAGCATGAAATTGTCACTGGACTTTTTATAGGCCTACAGTGCTTGAAAAACACTTGTCATCGAACCAGCAACATGTAAACCAGTCCCCCTGTTAGTAATAGTTTGTGTTTTCAGTTCCTTACTTTCAATATATAGTGATAATTTACGAGTAAATCGTTTCCAGTCTATCTAATTATTGAACAATTAAGAAAATCCGATTTTCAGTGTACACCACTATAAATAAGAACAAGTGTGCGTAATGCTCACGTGCATTAACCGTTTGACCAAACGAGCTATTGCATGGCTCTAATGCACTGTGTATGCCGCACGCTGGACAGAATAGTTCAAGTACCAGTGTCGACACTTCACCACTCAGGTTACAGTAATTAATTTAATCCAACAGATGCTGTTTTAACTTTTTATCCAACAGTTGTGGTTACAATATCTACCTGGCAAACCTGATCGAGCAAACGCCTTGGTGCACTCCTCTTTCAAGGCTTACCGTTGCCCCATCTCCTGACGCCTATCAATGTTGTAGTATTACACGCTGGTGTCACATTTCGTGAAACAGACCTTCATGATGGGTGTCCAGTGCGGCCCAGGTTGTGCTAACGGAGGCTGGCATGCCGCCCTCTGTGTCCATATCGACTGGCTGCTGTGGACAGGACTCCTCAAAGGTCTAGGGGTGATGCTGCCAACGCTTAAAGAGCAATTCACAGCAGACACGTGGATGATCGGTGGATTGATTGCAAATATTACTGCTGTTGGCAGTTTTGCAGGTGCATACATACGCTTAAAAGGCAAATTTACTAGTTTTAACAAGAACTTATACAGCCTTGTTCCCAGAGAGCAACGCAAACCGCAACGCGGACATGTTAAAACATGTCAAACGGTGGTGTTGCCGACAACGCAGACAAACGTAAACCAGCCCACGAATGATCGGTGAAGTTGAGCCATGTTCAACTTTGCCGACTGTCTGCGTTGCGTAGCCGTGGTGTCCCCATATAGACACGCATGCTGGCAAGACCAGCGTCGAACGATGTTCCGTCCGCGTAGTTTCACAAATGTACAGTCAATCTCTAAAAGCATATTTTCTGCGAAGAATCACGGTGTTTCGGACTCTATTTGTTTCAAGTTTTAGGCGGAATGACGGAATGCACTGTTTCTTCCGTTCGTGTCTGTGTCTCCACCTGTTGCATTCCGTCTGCGTTACAAACAAGTAGCCCTTCCATAATTATGTGTGTGTTGGGACGTTGCGTGCACGACGTGTACAAACATTTCATTTTCACGGACACAAAAACCGATTCCGTTAATGTAACACGCGTGTGCGCTGTGTTCGGCCGTCAAAATCGCCCCAGGAGTGATTTCAATGGATACGCAACGCTCTGCGTGCTCGCCCATTCGAATCAAATCGTGTCTAGGCCTACTTTTTCGACGTTTCTCCATGTTATAGTACACCATATTATGGCTGGCTGTAAGTAGCAAAAAAACAAATAAACAAACAAACAACCCAGAAACAAACACGCAACAACAAAAAAACAAAAAATAAATAACTCTTCTAAACGCCATCATAAAAATTGTCGTTCCAAGTTTTAATACCGACGACATAAAAAGTGCATTTTGAGGCAAGCGTTGTTTGGCAACAAAGGATGAACCTACCCAAAACCTTAGGCGCCTGTGCCAAGCAAATGGTATAAAAAGGTGTGTAAACAAAAGAAAGACGAATTATCTAAAGATTTGCTACACGAGGAGTTTTACTGGGTAGATTGATAACAGACGGATGCTGGTGGAAATTCGATTGGTTCTTGTTTTAGATAGCCTTCACTATCCCAATCTTAATGCACAGTCTGGACCGACTAAGGAATCAAAATGGCTTTAATCTGAACTATAATTATTAATGACACAAAATCTTGTAATTATTATGAGGACCTTCTTTGTGTACAGAGACTGTACGTTATTGATTTAAATTGGGAATGGGCCTGAATTTCACCCAGTTAGCTCCGGGACAGACCTACATACTATACTATTAAATGTGTAAGGATTAATCAAGCCCCCCTCCGAAATTAAACTTGTGGTGTTGCTTTAATTGGAACCGCTTGGGGAATTCAAACTTACAACACGCAGTGTTACGTGAACACGTTAGGGTGTTGATTTTCAAACTTTTGGCATACAATTTTCCACTGTTTCTCATGCACTCTTCTCGTGCTAATACCGTTGTCATCAAATCCAATGCAGGTCTGTTATCCAAGCCATTGGAGGCATTGTTTGGTACCCGCAACGTGGTCACAGTCTTTGGATTAATCCTTGGGGTGTCTGTTATCGTCTCTTCTTTCTCGACCAGCGCTATCCAGATGACGCTTGTCCTCTGCTTCATTGCTGGTACGTAGTTCTTTTTTTTTAATTCCAACTAACACCAAGTAAACTGATGAGCCTTGATTTACTGCTCACTTGTCACTGGTGTATTGACAAGAAGACTATTTCGAAATGAACTCAATTGCGGGAGCTCATTCTCCAAAAGCTTCCTCCAAAGTTCCTTCTGGCATGGGGACTTTCTTCAGTTTTTGACGTGATTAAGGTCATTGCATAGTGTGCCTACTTTGATCAAACTGAGCATCAGAGCTCAGTGCTGACTAGTATTTTTTATTCATAGGCTTTGTTTTAATGTGCAGGGCCTGGTTTGGTGATCCCCAATATTTTATCGAGAGCCATGACAGGTCGTTATTTCACCACGAACTATGCGACAGTGAATGGGATTGCGACCACAGGAGACGGAGTGGGCTTGATCTTTGCTCCGTTGACTCAAGTGCTTTTAGACACCTACGGCTGGCGAGGCGCCTTGCTACTGCTTGGGGCTATCAGCATGCATCTTGGTGTATGTGGCTTCCTGCTGAGACCATCACCGCTATCAGCAGAGGGGCGGGACGACTACCTACCAATCATCTCAAGTGAACAGGAGCCATCGGAATCCAATATCTCTGATAATGAGACGAAATCCCCACTCCGCATCCTGAAGGACGCTATTCAGGCTCAGGGGAATATTTTCGGCTGCGCTGTTTGCGGCCGCGCTGCGTTCTGGATAGCGGCCCATGTCTATGTCCTCCATCTCTTCGTGGGCACCCTGTGGGTGATATACTTTGTCCCTTACGCCGAGTCAAAAGGTTTCTCAGGGTACGAGGCCGTGACATTCACCACGGCCGCAGCGATTGGGAACCTGGTCTTAAGGATTCTTGTTGCGTCCATGGTGGGCCGAGGCTGGCTGAAGCTACGACTGGCCTTGCTAATTTCAATGATTAATTGCGGCACGGCTCTATTGACGCTTCCCTGGGTGCATTCCTATTGGTTGATGATTGGCAACGCCGTCATCTTCCACGGCTCCCTTGGGGCAAAGGCATCACTTTGTGACATTTACACCCGGGAACTGGTGGGAGCCGAAGAACTGGTGTCCGCTTTCAGTTGGATGGATCTACTGGTCGCTATTATTCAAATCGCTTTAGGATTCCTCCCTGGTAAGGAATAATCGAATACTTACGTGGCTAAGGGAGAAATATTCCTTTGACATCTAAAAAATAAATAAACAAACAGTTCTCCTGACAGGAAAGACGCCTGAATAACCAATCTCGCACCTTTTTTTAGGTTGGATATTCGACCAGACTGGAAACTATGACACGGCTTTCATCATCTTGGGACTAATCTCTCTTTTGCCGTTGGTGTCGCTGCTCATGGAAGATGTAATCAACCGACGGAAAGGTTAATGTCACCGATGAATAATCCGGTTTTGCTCAACAGGAGTACAGTCTCCCATGATGAACAACTGTACTTGCTTGAAACACTGCATTTAGGGCGTACGTTGATTGTGTTCGTTGTATTGTTTTAATTTTAATCCATGAATGTCAGGCAAAAAACGAAAAACTTCAAGGAAGCTCTTGAGTTAGTACCAAACGTGTTATGGCCATAAAAGTATCAAAGGAGAATTTGCAATAACATAACACTGGATTACGTGTACAAACGACATCCAGCAATAACAGTGCCAAACAGAGTTTTAATGAATAACGGTGATGTCACGCACAAGAAGTTGCAGTCAGAATCACGTCTACTCCTCGTGGAAAGCAGTGTGTAATTTAATACGTTATTAGATTGTCTGTACATCGGTGCCTTTCCGCTATTTCGTTTGCTTTTAATGTTGAAGGTTGTAGTTCAGAGTATAACCTTTCTTTACAAGTATGGTACTCAAGGTATTTTATCTTGCACCTTCTGAGAAAGGGATTAAAATGGGATTATATCGTCATCAACACCACGACGTAGTACTCATGTATAGATGTGTGCGTCGCTTCAGCGCGTATTTCACAGAAATGTGTTATTTTCATTCTCACGAAGTAGCACTCGGCACGTACTCCGTGAGTTGCCATTTTCAGGAATTGACTTTTTCTTTAAACACTTAAAACGAGATTTAATAGCATCTTCTAGTTAAGTCACATATTTACGGGTGATTCAAATCATTTCAGACCTTTAAAAACGTTTTATACATGCTATATTGACAAAATACACATGAGTGCTACTTCGTGAAAACGAAAATCATTCGATTATGCTTCAGTGTACGATGTGCGCTCGCACGCTTGAGTGCTACTTCGTGAAACCTAAATTGTTGTAAACCTATTTTTCAAGAAGTAGCACGCAAGTGCAGTTGAGTACTACTTCGTGGTGTTGGTGACAATTTTTTTTGTCGATTTTCACAGTTGGTGAAATATCAAGATATGTAAAAGTTA